CGATACGTTCGCAAATGAACAAATCGAATCAAATGCGCAATTGGGGTGTGGAGTTCGTCTTTTACAGCACACCCCTACAGAGCACGCATCAAAAGGAGCAAGGCAATCGCCGTACCGTTTATTTGACATACGAACAGGCTAATCATGATTTCGTGAAAACCGTTGACGATTTATTGCGCGACTGGTCGAAGATTGTTTATCTCTACACATTGGTTTTTAATTTCGCCGAGCATGTGAAAAACAGTGAGTACTTATAGTGTCTCTCCTTTTGTATATACGCGACGTAGTCACTCAGTTTTTGAGATATTGATCTGAAATTTTGTACTCCATCCCTTAGAAGCTACTTATTTTTCGAAATCGCCGTTATCGGAATACTATAGCATACAGCTTTCATACAAACCGACCGATCAAAATCGAGTCCTTGTATGGAAAACTTTTTCACGATATCTTCACGAAATTCTGCGTAGGTTATTGTACCACGCAACGCTACAATCTCTCAGCAAATTGTTCAGATCGGACCACTACAGCATATAGTTGCCATACAAATTGACTGATCAAAATCGAGTCCTTGTATGAAAAATCTCTTTATTTGACACGATATCTTCACGTAATTAGACATACCATAGATTTCTGTTCAAGTCTTTGTAAAGACAGCTTTTAAATCCGGGTCCGTTTCGGTTACGTAGACCCGACGTGAGTTTTATCCGGCCAAGAACTGTCAACTCGGCAGAATTCTGCGGCTACAACAATAACAACCGAACAAAATCAAGTTAAAGATTTGTATACGCTTTTATTGTACAAGAAATACACCTGGGAGGATATTATAGCTTCGGTGCTGTTAAAGTTAACGTTTTTTGTGGTATTTAATACAATTTTATTTTCTTATCCTTCTAGAGCGTCTGAACCTTGCGGATATGGTTAGTGTAAAATCGTATAATTACATGAATGTTTTGCTGGGCTATGGACCGAAGAAGGAAGTTACTTGCAACATTTCTTGGTGCGCACAAACGAATGGTTTTCGTTTGATATACGTTGGTGGCATATCTGCTGTGAATGCACATTCTATGATGCGCGACCAGTTAGCCTCGCACTTAAATCGTCAACATAATCTTACGCAAATCGTGCAAATATTGCATGAAACATATACACCGTTGAGTTCGATATCCAAGCTACCCATCATACCACTGTTAGGCATACCAGTATGTATTTTTCTTACAATTTATGTATTACTAATACAAATATATATTGTATATACTTCGCTTCATATTGACAGCGGCCGCAAGTACCTATCTTGTCGTTTTGCATACTACCGCAATCGCCGTGTCTCATACGTTTGACATATCAAGCCATTTACTGCCTGGAGATACGCATGCGCAACGGTCGCTTAGTATCGATTCGAGATGGCGCATATTCGCGCTTCGATCGCAATTTGATAGATGAGTTCACACCAATACAAGGATTGAAAGTGAGTGCATTAACGGTATATTGCATGATATATTACTTGAAAATGCGTATTTAAAATTTTTTAGGGTTTCCTCTTGAAACATGTCGATGAAAACGCCGTTTACCGTGGTCGTTCACAAAGTGAAGATGATAATCCACCCTCTCCTTTAGGTATGGAAGACAACTACTGCGGTCCAGGCAGTGTGTCTGGCGCTGGCGCCGGTGGTTCATCACCTTTTACAAGTGGTGGCATGCGTGGTCCACAGTCGCCACGCGACAGCGGTTTACGTTTTCCCGCACCACATACTCCACCATCCAGCTCAAATCCACACACGCCAGCTAGTCCACATCCATCCGCTAACGCCGGTGGCGGTAACAATCCAAATCATCCGAATTTCAATTTAACTTCACCACCCGCACACCACATGCCACATCCTTCACCCGGCGGTCTTATGCCATCATCACCATTAAATCCACAACCAAGTCCACATATGGCACATAGCCCCGGCCCGAATACGTTGTATATGCAAGGACATCAGGATTCACCGTTTACCGCTATGTCACCGGCTAACACTAATTGGCCCGGTTCGCCAAGCATGCCGCGGCCATCACCACGTCCGGGCCAAAGTCCGGAGCATAAACCAAGCGGCAGTTCTGGCGGCAACACAGGCACCTCTTCGGCTATGTCACGTGTGCCCTCGAATCGTTCCTGGGCCGGTGCGGTGCCGACGGTACTCACGCACGAAGCATTGGAAACACTCTGTCGGCCCAGTCCGCATCCTAACAAAGATATCACTGGTTCTGAAATTAGTCCATTGGAACGCTTTTTGGGTTGTGTATTCATGCGTCGCATGCTGCAGCGTCATATACAAGGTGATGAATCGATTACGCCACTCAATTCCAATGAGCCCGGCATGGTACTCTTCAAGGTGGACGGCCTCCAATTCCAGGTGATGCTAAATCAAATGCACATGGAATCGTTGCATTTGAAGGCGCAGCATTTGCCGACACCACCCACGCCGGATGGCAAGCAACCATTCCAGTTGAGCGCCGATGATTTGCTAGTGCTGGAGCAGTTCTTTGATTTGCGTGTGGTGGCGCCACCATATCGTCCGAATGCTATGACCGCCTTCTGTCGCGTATTGAGCTGTCCGGGCCAAGTGCTCAAAGACTTCGTGCAAATTATGCGACTCGACCTCAAGCCGGAGGTAATGGGCGATCAGCTTAAGTGGGCGTTACAATTTTGCATGCGCGTGCCACCGTCGGCGGCCATAATCCCAATCGGTACGCCGGGCATCTATATCTGCAAGTTAAAGATACTCTTCTTTGTAAGTATTGTGGTTTTTGCTTCAAATTGTTGTCGTAATTGCAAAATCGATTTGTTTGCCTTCCAGTTGCAAATCACACGCATACCATACAAGGGTAAAGAGTGGAAAGACAGCCCTTCATTGTTGTTGCCAATGGTTTACGATCTAACTTCGAATATTACACAATTGGTTGAGCGGCGAGAGCAGGTGCAGTCACCGGCAATGAATGCTGCCAGCGCATTGTTACGGCGCTTCACCGAATTCAGCGTTCAGCATGGACAATGCTCGCTGTTTCCGGCGGTTTTGGATTTGCTAACCAATCTGCAACTGCCAAATGATGTGCCGCCACCAAATCAAGTGAGTGCTTAGTTGCAAGTTGTGACATATTCAATCTTATGCTAATCTCTGTGTATCTTTCTGCATTAGAATATTGGACCACCGGTGGGTCAAGTGGTGGGTTCCAGTCCAAATCCGATGATGCACTCGCCGATGCAGCAAATGGGTCAGATGGGTCCATCGCCAGTCGGTCCTGGTTACCCGCAAATGGCGCAAAATCAAGGTCCGCAGTGATGAAGGCGCAAACGCCGCACGGTAAACAAGAATAACAACTGTGCTGGCAGTGCTGGCGGCAACTAAAAAGCAAAGTTCACACACAACGCGCGTTATTTACTATACAAACAGATGGGACATAAATTAACCGGCCTTTAACTCGGAAACTTTAGAACATTTATGGTTTTTGTTTTATATTTTGGACATATTTTGAGGCATGAATGTGTTGCAAATCGGCGGACAATGACAATTTATACCAAGCACATGTTGCAAAGATTAAGATACATGTACACACACACCACACATATATATATATATAAAAATGTTTGGAAATTAGTTACATTAATGATTTGACGAAAAAATGATATTTATTAAGATTGCTGAATATATTATATTATAATTACCGCAAATAACTGCAGTTTTTTTCTTCATACACACAAATAAAGTGCTAAATAAAAATGATATTGTAATATTAAACAAACCAAAATAACTGTGTTTTAAAATGTTTCAATACTTTGTTGAGAAAAAAAATCTCAATTAGGTGACTTCTTGTTAAATTTGAGGTTAGATAAGAATAGTTTTGTGAACGCTAAAAATTTCGGATACTACCAATATATGTACATGACCCATATATTATACTTGTAGATTAAGAGAACGCAACTTATTGTCAGCGTAAAGAAAACCAAACAAGAACAACCGTTAACTTCGGCAGCACCGAAACTAAAATACACTTCACAGGTGCATTTCTTATACCAACTACCATATATATATAACTAAATCTGAAAACGTAATCGGCTAACGGTTTGCATCCAAAGGAAAAAATATTGCTGTTGTCTAAATAAAAAAAAAACGATATTTTCTTTTGAAGTGAATCTTAGTTTTTGTCGGTCAGTTTGAATGGCTATATTGATCCGATGTGAACAATTTGTTCAAAGATTTTCGCTTTGCCTTGCACAATAATCTATGTCAAATTTCGTGCAGATATTTTGGTAAATATAAAAGTTTTCCATACAAGAATTGATTTTGAACGGTAAGTTTGTATGGCAGCTATATCCTATAGTAAGGGATTAGTTGACGTATATACAGTGCGTTCAAAAAATGACGTTTTACCTTTGCGCGAGCAATTCGCGGCAAACTGTTGTCACGTCGTGCCGTGAAAAAAGAAAAAAAAAGTACTCAGTATAGGAAACATTTTGAAGCAGCCTTTCTAACGCAGCTTCCTAAAGGTCCCACATAGACTATATTAAAAAACTGCAAAATATTTAAATAAGAGTTGTAAAAGAGTTTGTAAGGAGTTAGTCTGACCATTATAGAGAAACATATTTGAGTAAACTATTACATATATTGTTCAAACTTTTGAGACGTGTTTGGCTGGGAAAAGCTAAACATTTATTAAAATGAGTTGCGGTACGTTTATGAATGCTTTTCTGCAAAAAAATAACCCCACTTTGGAAAACGAAAGCGTTATTTTTTGAACGCACTGTATAGACGGACGCGCATAGCTAAATCGACTTAGTTCGTCATGCTGGTCATTTATATATAGTTATATGGTATTTTATATGGACTACGACGTTTCCTTCCAGGTCTGACAAACACAAATGAAATTACAACAATACCATGAATATAATCATACATAAAGCTTATTTTTATTGATTCATGATTTCCCAATATACATACATACATACATACTTCTCATAACAGTTTTATGGTATTATTATTATATATTTTGACTATATTCAATAATAATTGCAAAAAATGAGTTTTCTCTTAACATTAGTATATGAATCCTTGTTTTCTTTTTTTTTTTTGTTTTTTTTTTTCTCTTATTTGGCTTAGAATATTTGATACATTAGTAGAAAATGACTCGATATACTGTGCGTGGAATCTGTCTGCATATATTTGGTTTGGTAGCATAGATTTATCATATCCCAGCCGACTCTTCAATCTCAATGTTCGCTCACAACTCCATTTCTAAAATAACTCCGACGCTTTAAGAGCCATTCTTTTCCACAATATCGGTTTGTTGCACTTGCGCCGAAAGCTCGGTAATGTCGTCAACGTCCGATATTAGGTTCACACTATAGCGTAGACGTTTGCTGCGCAAGTAGCTGTGAGAGTTGTCGAAGACCACAGTGTCTTAAAGAGATATGCATATGGGGAGAGAGTGTAAGCGTCTATTTTTCATAAAATAATGACATAGTCACTTACATGTTGTATTGGGTCGCGTTGAGATGAAGCCCACTTCATCCATTTCATTGGAATAGACAGTGCCGAGCGCCACTTCGCTACGCTTTTCTCCAGACGACTTGTCAATGCTGTATATACCGAATTTGATGTCGTAGTCGAAGGTGCGAAAATCCCATGATAGCACTAAGTTCTCTTGCTTCTTTTCATCCACATAAAAATCCAGTTTTAGCTTGTTGCCCTTATTTATTGTGGTCTCGGTATAGTCCTTATCGTTGTCTTCATTACCTTGCTCGACAAACATGTCTTGCGGAATTTTTCCACCCCAAATAATCTGAAAGTAGTGAAAAGTAAAATGTTTAGATTGAAACCATTGAATTATAAGAGAGTAAATGAGATAGCCACTTTCTCGTTATCGGAATTGACCTGAAGTTATTTGGTCACGAGATATTATTTCCGCGATCTAACCCTGTTTATATAGTGGATCCGCAAGTTAGTTGAATTAGTCTAGTCAGATTGTTTTGCGATGTTAAACTTTGTTAGCTTGTGGAGGTTATATATGAGATCCCATTTTTAATTCACCAACCTTCGATTTGCATTCTGGATCACCATTCTCATCGACATAATTGCCACCAAAGCATTTGGGAAATATATTTGGATCGACATGGGAGAACAGTGGTTCCTTCCACTTATCTGAGCCGGTCTTGAAGATTTTTATTTTACTCATTGTGTACTCGTCCAGGAATCTTTTAACGAAATTGAAAGCAACAGAGAACAGTTTGGGTGCTGTGAAATAAAATTGGATGAATATATATGTATATACAGTTATAAAATAATTATATTTGTGACAGCATTGGGTCTTCCTCACCATTGATTATGTAGCACATTTTCAGCAATTCCGGATAGTTGCTTTCGTATTGTTTTACGGTGGATAAAACACACTCGGCGCCCGGACGCCACGCATACTGCTTCAAATTGAAGTTGGCCATGTCGAAGAAGACAACTAGCTGACGTGCCTGTGGACCATGTATTTTGCTCTGTTCATAGCCAGCTTGCATAAAACGCTCCAACAGCAGCACCAAGTAGCGTTGGAAGTCGAAGCGTGTGACGCAGTGTAGCATGCCCCAAATATCAAAATTATAGAATGGACAGACAATAACTGGAAGTAAAACAAAACAAAGAAAACATACATACATATTAAAAGTCAACTGTAAATTTATTCTAAACCCTCAACTCATGGCAGAAAGTTGTTACTCACTTGGCGAACCTTCATTGTCATAGCCAATCAGTCCGTGTGGCATATATTCTCTGAGAGCGCGAGGCACATCCCACTTCTCCAAGTTGTCCACATTCCACATAGCGCGGGTCTTCAGGCTCTATGAAAACCAAAAAATAAACGGATTCTAATTTCTTTGCAATTAAATTGGTGATGTGAGATGGCTTATATATTGCAAATATTCGAATTTCACTGGAATTTTGATTTTTGTTTTTAATCGAAAAATTCTCGGTGTTTCTGTGCATACTCGGTTATATTTTAAGTTGTCTGATGACACTCAAATTTATTTCGGTTTTCTTTATTAAATTGCTTATAAGTATAGGGTAGCCAGAAAGAGGACTCTCCTCAGCTTCTAGAACACTTATCAAAAATTTGTTACGAAATAAAAGTTTTAACTCGAAATTTTACTTTAAAACTGAGGGGGCCCTCTAAATGTTAAACAATTTTTTTTTGTCCAAAAATGTTCGTTTTTTATAATCTACAAATTTTACCCTTAGGCTAAGCAAAAAAAATTTTTTTTTTCGCTCTACTCTAATATACATATTTTATATAATATGTTATGGGCGTGATCACTTTTTGCCTGGCCATGGGTTCGAAAACTATCTTAGGGATTTTCCATTTATAACATAACATCAATAACCACACCACAAATAGAAATATAAGCTTAGTGGAATTGTCAAAGTCCTATCTAATATATATTCTTTTGTATAGATATAACTTACCGCCCGCAACATTTCCTCAGCAGCCTCTGGGTTCCATTTTCGTGCTTCATAAAAGTGATAAGTAAATAAATACTTTAAGAAAATTAATTTGATCATTTATGCCATACATACCTCGTAGCCAACGTAGAAGAAAATAATCATCATGGGTTTCATTGATGACGTCAGAAACACTTTTGCGGAACTGTAAAAATATTAGAAACGTGTTTTAATTCTGTTGATATATGTAAAACTACAATTTAAGATAGGATTGGGATTATATTTTATAAACCAAATTTTTTTTGAATTTTAATTAACTAAAAAATTATTTTTTGTTCTTCATTTTCTGTGTTCTCTACTTCAAAATTTAGGAACCAACTTCAAGTACAATACATTTCATCTAGTGTTTCCTTGAAAACTGTGAACAAGTTTTGGTAATTATTACTATTGCTTTAAGTTCTATAAGACCCAGCTACCATCTTCACATGGACTCTTTTTAATATAATTGAAATTTCTTTCACACATTCCAAAACTCAGTGACTAGGTTGTTGTCAAACAGGCGAACATGAGTTTATTGACACTGCTCTTCTTTCTTTGATGTGATATTTTCCAGGCCTTGTTGGTATTCAGAAACATAGATCCGAAGTTATAAGATCAGTTTACAGGATCAAGAGAAGCATACAATTTAAATCGATCGGAGCGCTCAGTTACAAAATACGGTGAGGCTCAACTTCAACCTCGTTCCCATTATCCGGAATTCGATTGTACATATTTTTGAAACTTTATCGCTTTCATAAATCTTCGCAATTTTGAAATATGCCATTATTAAAAGCAGGAAATGGAGTTTGATCTCCATTCTCAAGTAATTATAATATAAATAAATAACAAAAAAAATTATAAATATTAGAAGAGAGTTGCGATCCTTCCTAGTTAGTTGTATATAAGCATTTTATTGAATTCTTTTTTGTGCTCTTTTACAATATATTATGATTTTTGTAGGTCATTCGGATATGTGCATTTAACGAAGCAGCGTTATCTTTCTAAAATTTCACGAAGCAGCGTTAAGCCATACGTATTTTGACGACTAAATGAACACCGATGAATATAAAATCTAACTGTTTTATTGTAAAAGTTACTGATCTCTTCGCACCCTTTTGCCCGCGCATATTATTTTGCTCTTTGTCCCACCTGACATTGAAGCGTTATGAATTGAATAGTAGCTGCTAAAAGCCGGTAATCAGCGCTAAGTTATTTAAGTTCCGCTAAACAAATTTTAGATTTTGTGAATAAAACTTATATTTTATTTTTTTGTTGTTTAAAGAAGTACCGACCTTCAATTCGATTTCGCTTTGTGCTTGCACCGCGATACGATCGCTTTGTTGGATTCAGGTTTCTGCATAAATTTTACTTAATCATTATTTTGACCGAAACGTACGCATCACAGTTAGTGTGGACTTGCCCACTGTGATTAAATCGACATACGCATGCGCGTATGTTGGAGCGCCGAAGTAACCCTACAAGAAACTGCTGATGGGTTTACCAATACACTCACACTTGTTGTGTCAGTACTGACAGTCAATTTAAACGGCAATTGACCGTCACTGTTATTGTTAAAAAGGTACCCTCTCGATTTATATTGCTTACTATAGTTTTACATATGAAAGAATTAAATAGCTGAATTTTTTAATAGGAATAGAGAAGTTGTGAAATACCTGTTATAGCTGTGATTCCGTGCGTTTTTTGTGTTAAAAAATGAATAAATAACGGAAGGAGTTTTCAAATATAATATACGTAAGTTATTAAGTTTCAAATAAAATTATATTTTTAGTTAATTTTCATTTTTATTTAGACATTATTAAATTTCGAAACATCCATGAACTGGAGAAACACGTACAGCAGAGCTTTTGAGAGGAGCAAGCATGGAATCAAGTGAAAATTTCCTTTAAGAATTTTATTATTATTTATATTTTTGCTGTACTCCTTTTTTATGTTTATATATATTATTATAACTTATTTAATTAAAAGTTTTGAATTTATTAAAGAAATAAAAAGTGTATTATATACTATGCAAAAGAATTTTTCACTTGTGATAGCTTTTCAAATTTTCAGCTTTGATGGATTTATGATCAGCATGACTTGGGAAAAGGCAAGAGAGTGAGCAGTATAGATATTTAGTGAATCAATTTCGAATATCTATGTGTTAAAGGGAGATGCAGATACATGCGTTTGTTTACATCAGTTTTTGCACAAGGCTCTTAAAAAAATGATAGAAACTTTGTTTTGGGCGCTAACAAACTTTTTGCAGCTGTGACTGTCATATTACCGGCCAAATCACTGCCACTGTTCTTATAGGGAAGCTAACCACGAGTATAAACAATCGTATCGTAATCGTTCGATAATCAGCATTATTTAAATATAAACAATAAACATGAAAGCGGTGACTAATGAATCGAATCAATTTAAGTTCTAAGAAGTTATGTATGCATGTACAGATGAAGAATATATGTATATCTAGCAAAAAGCTTACATATATGTACATATGAATTACATATACGTCTATATTAATTGTAAAAACATATTTATAATCACTTTTAATTTCATATAAATTTTATTTACGAGTTATTATTTAATTTACGTGGGATTCGTCGTGATTTGCTTGGAAATTCTAATCACATATCGTTTTCACATATACATGTATATGTACCATATATAATTAGGGCCAAAATAATAGTTCTTACCCTAATATTGAAAACCTTAACAATAAAAAAAAAACAAAAAAAATTCTTTCGTGTTTCAACGATGCCCGCAAGCGACCAATTAATACAATGGTCTATGGAATGTTATTGAAGTCATGTATCTTTGTAGCATATACATATGTACATATACATATATACAATACATATATACGTACATATCATGTTATTTAATTTTCTTGTCTATTTATACCTGTTCTGTTTTGGTGGCTTAAACATAGTTTCTACATTTTTTTGTCTAGTCAATAAGATGTGAGCACTGCCGATACGTGGAACCTGGATGCGAAGCTTGGAATAATTGTAAAAGCATAGCAACTATGTAGGATATAGCAAACTAACATAAATAGGATATAATGAATTTACTCTTAAATATCATGAAACAGTTTAGGTGATACTAAAATAATGTTTATCCTAACTACAGATACGGCAAATGAACTGTGTCTCGTTAAAACGCAGATTGGCAGGTGTGGAGCTCGTTTCTAAATATCTTGGTATCCCCTACGATAACTAAAACCCACTTGTTGGAGAATACATGGCGAGTAGTAAAAAATGCTAACGGAGATGTTAGCAAAATCTTCAGCTCATTTTAAAACTAATGCTAGAGGACAATTCACTAACAATTTCGAAAATGGACTACACAATGCTAAAAGGAGGGGTACATTACTCAGTGAAAATTGTCCTCCACTCTCACTATTTAGGGTTCTAGCAGATGTGTTATATTAATTTCGCATAGTATAAATAATGATAGAAATTGAGATGTCGATGTTTTCGTCCCATTAAGCGACGAAGAGTGCGTTTAAACGTGCAGTACATTTGTTCGTGATGTCATGAAGGAAAGGAGGATAATTATTTGCTTCAATTACTATAAAAGTTTGACACTTCGTTTACTATGACGTTGCATGTCGCAATATCATCTCTATCTTACATGTTCTAATCTCACATCTCGAATATTTTACACAATTTAGCCATTAAAGGTAATGGATGTTGCTTATCAAGGAAGCCTTTCGATATTTCAATAATTTTCTGGTAAGTGATTCTATCTTGTGGTTCTACACTGTAGCAAATATAAACTTGCGAAAAACTCTATATTAATCTGATATTTAAATCAGATTTATACCTGCACTTTGTACATGGTGACTGTCTTAATTAAGTAAGAATGTAATAGGCATAAAAATATATATATGCACACTTATACATATATACCTATATGTTTATATGTATATGAAAGCTTGATAATTGCTTTGTTTTACGCAAAAAGAGTAGATTAGCATTTTTATTGTTAAATACTGACACTGATTTCCTTTATTGCAAATAAGAAAGGCAAAGTTCGGCATGAATCGAAAGTTAGCTAGTCTTACAAGCTATTGATATAATCGTTTTGAGTAAAAGCATTTTGTTTTTACGAGTATACTATCAACAGGGTAAATTAAGTTTGCCACGAAGTTTGTAACATCCTGAAAGAGGCGTCGGCGATCCTACAAAGTATACATATATATAATATGAGGGTTGCTTTTTATATTTCGGGACTAGTGTACAAAAACAAACACTAATCATGGAAAATCGCTTTATTGTGTTTGAAAATATTCTCCATTAAGAGCTATACACTTTTGTATGAGCCAATGGTCAAATCACTTTTGCCACTCTGATTGATGTATCCCCAAAACATGCGTTCTGAACACATGAGCCCTCTCTTCAGGTGTCATAAAACGTGGACCCCTTAGCTTATTTTTTCGGTACGGGAATAAAAAGAAGTCATTCGGTGCCAAGTCAGCACTATACGGTGTATGCCTCATCAAACCGATGTTTTGAGTGCTCCAAAATGTAGTTGTTTCAGTCGAGTGTGAGAGCTCGCACTGTTGTACAGACTGATCTGTCTTCGGCAGTTGGTTTTTCTGATTCCTTGAAAGACAATTGGCAAACAAATGGTTGTACAATATACCACTTAGAATTTACTTTTTTGCGTTGTTCTAGTGACTGACAAATTTTGTGGTATTCAACGTAAACAAACAGTCAAATGTTCATGTAATATTGAATGCATGCTGGTCCCACTAATGCCTATATTTGCCTCTAACCCACGAAAGGTCACATAACGATCTTGCAATATCAGCTTGCTAGTTCGTATGGACGCGTATATACAGTCAATGGGTTGGAACACACACAGACGAGCATGCCAAAATGGACTCACCTCGCCTTTAAAATCGATTATACGTAGGTTGCCTTTTATATTTCGGGATTTGGTAACCTTAGTGTTGCAATCTAGCAACTCACAACTTTATCGTAAAGTTTGACCTTTTTGATGTCCCTCTGCTTTGGATATATCGATTTTGACACGTCCTTTTCTTGTATGGAAAACCAACGATGACCGATTAAAATCACATTTATTATTATTTATTTGATCTTATTGCCAAAGGCAACGCTATAATCTCTAAACAAATTGTTCAGATCGGCCCGC